GCAGAGAACCCCTTGCTAAAGTTTTTGAAGCCCACCCCTGATTGTATCCCTCTGTTAATGCATTTTAGGATTGCATTGGCTTTTTTGGCTGCCACCGCACACTGCTGGCTCATATTTAGCTGGTGGTCCATTAAGGTTTGCGCTCCAGAGTTTAAATGTGAGGCTGTTTCATTCTACAACTCAGTGCCAACAGATCCTTGGCTATTTTTGCGGAGAGCGCAGCATCTACGCTGTCAGGTCTTCCTCGCCAGGGAACCACCAACTCCTCCTTGCCAACTCCTTTCTTACGTTTACGTCTACACATAAGCATAGGAAAATATAGTATCTATTGCTGCCCTAGCAACAACACGAAGCAGGCATTTGTTGAACGCCCTACTCTCTACATGTGCAAAAACCTGATGCAGTGTACACACTTCTGTTCTGATACGTGCAATAAAACGGCCAAGATAGCATTGCGTTATTTTAAGGAGAAGAATGCCCATGCTGTTTTTTTTCCCCTTCAGTTGAAATCAAAGTCTCTCGTCACAAAAGTAGCATGCAGGAGGCGACACCAAAGAATCCCATTCATCACTGGCGTCTCTAGCAAGAGAGCCAAGCTGCATTATGGGCTCACCAGGTACATTATGGTTCTAATTTGTTGTTGCTGTTAGTTGCGAAGTTGTGTCCGACCCATCGTGACCCCACGGACTACGTTCCTCCAGGCCTTCCTGTCCTCTACCATCCTCTGGAGTCCATTTAAGCTCACGCCGACTGCTTCAGTGACTCCATCCAGCCACCTCGTTCTCTGCCATCCCCTTCTTCTTTTGCCCTCCATCGTTCCCAGCATTAGGCTCTTCTCCAGTGAGTCCTTCCTTCTCATTAGGTGGCCAAAGTATTTGAGTTGCCTCTTCAGGATCTGGCCTTCTAAAGAGCAGTCAGGGTTGATCTCCTCTAGGACCGACCGGTTGGATCGCCTTGCAGTCCAAGGGACTCACAAGAGTCTTCTCCAGCCTCCATTCTTTGGTGCTCAGCCTTCCTTATGGTCCAACTTTCACAGCCATACATTGCAACTGGGAAAACCACAGCCTTGACTATACGCACTTTTGTTGGCAGGTTGATGTCTCTGCTTTTGAGAATGCTGTCTAGATTTGCCATAGCTTTCCTCCCCAGGAGCAAGCGTCTTTTAATTTCTTGGCTGTAGTCCCCATGTGCGGTGATCTTGATAAACGTATCTTTTCTTTTATGTACACTGAGAGCGTATGCACCAAGACAAATTTCTTGTGTGTCCAATCACATTTGGCCAATAAAGAATTCTATTCTATTCTATTCTATTCTATTCTATTCTATTCTATTCTATTCCATTCCATTCTTGGAGCCCAGGAAAATAAAATCTGTCACTTCCTCCATTTCTTCCCCATTTATTTGCCAGCAATTGAGAGGGTTCTGATTAGCTGAGCTAACTAACAGGCAAATGTGTATTTCCAGAGGCAGGCTGAATTTTGAACTCAACGAGGCTGTCTGGACTCAAGAAAATGTTACTCCTCTACCCATTTCACAGAAGGGAATGTAAAGACTGACCTCCTATGGACTTCCTAAAAAGCTACATGTCCAGTCTGTGAAGTTGAGTTATGCTTACAAGAAAGTAAACTCAACTAAATCTGGAGGGATTAATTTCTGAGCAAAGGCAAACAGATTCACTCTCTTGATTAAACTATCCAGTGGAGACGTTCGCCGCTGAGTAAATATAAACAGGATTGCAGCAAAAACCCAACGAAGAATTACGATTTCTCTCCATTCAAACTTCTTCCAAGTTTTGGACCTATGCCTGTTGCACTTGTCTACTTTTCACAGATCCCATGCTCTGAAGCCATCAAGAGTGCTCTCTGGCTATCAGCACCTCATGGCTGGGTTCACACAACCTCTAAACCCCGATAAACAGAATAAACAAGTGCTAAATTCACACAGTTCAAAGTTAGAAATTATCCGAGACATCCCGATTCATACAATATACCACGATAAAGGAACAGGCTGAGCTACCACCCATTCCTCTCCAATGTTGGTTAGATTAATGCGGTGTTTCTTAACCATGGCAAGTTTTAAAATGTGTGTTTATGGCAGGGATGTCAAACTGGATTTTTTCGAGGGCCGGATCAGCATTGTAGTTCTCCGCCACAGGGCAGGGGGGGTGGAGACGGGATGGCGCCTCCTGCAGCACGGAGCACGAGGAGCCACACGCGGCCCCCTCTGCCCCATTTTTGGCCTTTCCGGCACTCCGCCGGCCGAAAACAGGCTGCGCAGAGGCCTCCCGAGAACCCCACATGGCCCGTTTTCAGCCTCCCCGGCCTCCAGCAGCACTCTGCCAGCCAAAAACAGGCCGCGGAGGGCCCGCATGTGGCCCGTTTTGGCCAGCAGAGGCACCGCATGCCAGTCCTTTGATATTTCCAGGCCAGCCCCACGGGCTGGATTTAAGCACCCTAAGGGGCCAGATCCTAGCCCGCAGGCCTTGAGTTTGACACCTCTGCTCTATTGAGATTCTCAAGTCAGAACAGGGTTGTCTCCAAGGTGCTTCTGAAGAAGATCTGAAGAAGCTTCTTGGATGAAAAGCGAGACGTCTTTAAGGGAAAATAAAAAGTCCAGTTGCCTTGCAAAAAAGCACCTTTGGGTTTTTTTAAGATGAGTGGACCAGCTCCCAGGCACATTTTAAAAGTTCCCATGGTTGAGAAACATTGGATTAATTTTGTGTTGTGTGGATTCAGCACAGTGGTGAAATCCAATTTTTTTTACTACCGGTTCTGTGGGCGTGGCTTGGTGGGCATGGTGTGGCTTGGTGGGTATGGCAGGGCAAGGATACTGCAAAATCTCCATTCCCACTCCACTCCAGGGGAAGGATACTGCAAAATCCCCATTCCCTCCCCACTCCTGGGGAAAGGATATTGCAAAATCTCCATTCCCACCTCACTCTGGGGCCAGCCAGAGGTGGTATTTTCCAGTTCTCTGAACTACTCAAATTTCCGTTGCTGGTTCTCCAAACTGCTCAAAATTTCCACTACTGGTTCTCCAGAACCTGTCAGAACCTGCTGGATTTCACCCCTGATTTAACCACCTCACTCAAAGCTGCCCCTTCACCTGAGCTTCGGTCCAAGAATTCGGTTGCTAACTAAGTAAGAGCTTCAAGGATTCCTTATAGCTCGGCAGGAATCCTACTGACCTTTTGGAAATCTCTCAAAATCTGTTTTTTTCCAGCAGCCCTCAAAAAAGCGGAGCCCACAAGATGGTTTCACGATGGGTGAGCCCTTCAAAACCCTCTCTCGTGATTTTTTTCAGAATTTCATTGTTTCTAACGGCTGTTTAAGACGTGTTTTTGCTCATTTTGTGTTACAGGTAATCCTCGAGTTACGACCGCAACCGAGCCCAAAATTTATGTTGGTAAGCAGAACATTTGTTCAGCGAGTTTTTGCCCCCTTTTACGACCTTTCTTGCCACACAGTTGTTGTTGAGTGAATCACTGCAACGGTTAAGTCAGTAACACAGTGGTTAAATGAATTTGGTTTCCCCCCATCGACTTGGCTGATCAGAAGGTCGCAAAAGGGGATGACACGACCACTGCAATCGTCATAAATATGAGTCGGTTGCCAAGCGTCTGAATTTTGATCACGGGTCATAAGTGTGAAAAAACGGTCATTAAGTCACTTGTTTCCATGCCGTCGTAACTTTGAACCATCACTAAATGAATCTTTGTCAATCGAGGACTTACCCTGTATTGTATGCCGCCCAGAGTCACATTCGTGAGACGGGCGGCTAAATCAATTTAAAAATAGATGATAAATAGATAAATAACTGAAATCTGTGCCACAGCCCTGCAGAGCAGGCTGGCATTATTATTCCCGGTTAAGAATAGGTTGGTCCAAGATTGCCTCAAAGGAGCCCAGAGGGCAATACAATTGGACCACGGAGCATGGCATTCTCCGAAATTCTGAAAAAAGCAACTTGTGCCCAGGTTTCTTCCATCAGATGCCAGTTTCAAGGGGGAAAGGGTGCCAAGGTTCACCAGAACCTTCTCTCCCCCGGCTGGCAATCCGAGGATGGGGCAAATCCTCCCTCTCGGTCGGGGCCAAATCCAGAGGAAACGGCTTCTCAACCGGCAGAGAGATGCTCCGAGCGTGATGGTGAAGGCAGCCCAACTGGCAGTCTAGATTCTGCCAGGGATTGGGGGGGGCACTTGGTTAATGCATGACTGGGGACCCCCCCCAAGCTCATTCTTGGAAGCCTGTGGCATCACCCCCAGCCGGAGCTTTCCCCCAGTCCCTGTCCCCCCACCTCAACCTCCTGCGTCTGTTATTTTGGATCCAGGCCGAGCATGCCAAGGGTGCGGGGTGGATGGGCACGGCGTGGTACTGCCGTGCCGCACGTTGCCGCGCAAGCCCCGATCCTGGAAGGCAGCGAGTTGCAACCCCGCGCTTCTCCCTTTGGCACCCGGCTCCCCAGGCTCGGAGGGCAACCCCTCCCTCAAAATAAAACCCTCCATCCCCACCACTGGGATCAACGATAAGCCTATATGCATGCCCCCCCACCCCACTCTTGATGAACCCCCTGCGCCCGATCCAGCCGCCTCCATCCCTACTCGCGCCCGACTTGCGCGACGCTCCACCCGATGCTTAAAATCCGTGCCGTGGCCAAGCCTCTCACCCGGATTGGGGTGCGTAGTGGTGGTGTTGGGGGGGGGGGTTAGTCCGTCTTCCCTGCCCGGCTGCGCGCATCCCTCCTGGATCCGCGCAGCAGGGTAGAGAAGTCGGAGACCCCCCCCACACACACACATACATCCCCTCCGGATGAAGGTTGGCACGCATTTTCCCATGGGGTGATGGAGACCCGCAGCTGGCAGCCCCCGTCGGCGGGGTGGGTGGGAGAGTGGGGGGGGGGGCGCCCCCGACTCAGCCCCATTCAGCCCACCCCGATTGCCACGCAAGCCGGGCCGCCCTCCCTCCTTGCCCCCCGGGTCCCGTCCGCTGCGCGGGGCTCACCTGCTCCTGGATGAGCTGCCGCAGCGAGCTCCTCTCCATATACCCGCGGCTGGCGGCGCTGGCGGCCGAGGAAGAGGAAGAAGAGGAAGGCGCCCGGGCTGGCACCACCGGCGGGGAGCCCAGGAAGCCCCTGCCCCTGCCCCGCCGCCGCCGCTGCCGCCGCCGCCGGGCAGGTGATCCAGAGCCAGAGCTGGCAGCATCAGCAGCAGCAGCAGCAGCAGCGGCCGGGGCTCCAACGTGAGTGACAGCCGAGCGGGAGGGGAAAGGAGGGAGGGAAAGGGGAGGGGAGGGGAGGCTACGGCAGCCAGCGGGCGGGGCCGGAGAGGGCGTTGCGCAGGGGTGGGGGGCGGGGGGAAGCCCTTGGCTCCTCCCCCGAGCCGGGCGGGCCGGCAGAGGGGGGGAGAGGACGGGCCGGGAGTGGGTGGGGGGGGGGGGGAAATCTCAAGAGAATAATTAAAATAAACAAAGAGCTGGAAGGGACCTTGGAGATCTTCTAGTCCAACCCGCTGGTCAAGCAGGAGAGCCTACACCATTGCAGACAAATCGCTTGCCCGGTTTCTTTGATCAAGGCTGCGGCTTTGCTGGATCCGCTGGGCCGGGAGGAGGAGGAGGAGAAGAGGAGGAGGAGAAAGAGAGGAGGAGGGGAAGGAGAGGAGGAGGAGGAGGAAGAGAGGAGGAGAAGGAGAAGAGGAGGAGAGGAGGAAGAGGAGGAGGAGAAGGAGAAGAGGAGGAGGAGGAGAAGAGGAGGAGGAGAAAGAGAGGAGGAGGAGAGGAGGAGAGGAGGAGGAGGAGATGAGGAGGAGGAGGAAGAGAGGAGGAGAAGGAGAAGAGGAGGAGGAGGAGAAGAGGAGGAGGAGAAAGAGAGGAGGAGGAGGAGGAGAGGAGGAGGAGGAGATGAGGAGGAGGAGAAGAAGAGGAGAAGAGGAGGAGGAGAGGAGGAGGAGGAGAGAAGGAGGAGAAGAAGAAGAGGAAGAAGAGGGGGAGGAGGAGGAGAAGATGAGGAGGAGGAGGAGAAGAAGAGGAGGAGGAGGAGAGGAGGAGGAGGAGAAGAGGAGAGGAGGGAGAGGAGGAGAAGAAGAAGAGGAGGAGGGGGAGGAGGAGGAGAAGAGGAGGAGGAGGAGGTGGCTCTGGGATGGAGCAAGATTCCATGCACTATGAGTCCAAAATGACTTGCCAATCCTTGAGGATGTTCAGCTTTCTAGTGTGATGGGATTTCCTCATGGTCTCCCATCCAAGTATAAACCAGGCCCTACCCTGCTTTTCCTGCAAGCCGAGCTGCGGTCAGCCAGATTCTTTACCTGCTATTCCTTAAGCTGGACTTTCTCCCTAGAAGTTCAGGTTGTTCCACCCAGGCTGATCGGAGGAGTGGTCTTCCTCCCTCACCTGAGACCCCTTGCAAGACCCAAAGAGCTTTTCTGTTAAGCTTTCCAGGCAGGAATCTGCCTGGTAGAGCCCAGGATCTCAGGCATAGCTGGAGAGTACAATGCTTCTGCTTCTGCTCGGGGTATAACCCAAGGGGATTATTAGGGCGCTGTAATTCTCGTCTCCATGCAAGAGGCATTTTATTCACTTCCTGGGATAAAGCCTGCTGAGATCTGGAAGGAAGAAAAAAAAATAAGACTCTCTCTTAAATTTGGAAGGGTTTTTCAAGGTTGGAATCCAAATAATTTATCTCTGAAATATCTTCTTCCATTGCCAGTCAGATCTTCCAAAGGAGACCTTTAATGGCCAATCTTCAGCAACATCCCAAACAGAACCTTGGCAGCTTGAAGATCGGTGGACTTCAACTCCCAGAATTCCTCAGCCAGCATGCTACTGACGGCAGGATCAAAGATGAAGGATGGATGCTGGCTGGGGAATTCTGGTAGTCGAATGTCCACCCTTTTTCAAATTGCCTGTTCTGACCTCGGCTTCCCCAGCAGCACCAAGCTGAGTCCTCGTCCTGATAAACCCCTTTTATTGAATTTACAGTGAATTCCTCTCCTGCAAATTCCTTTCCCACAGTCTTTCAAGATAGTTCACCATTACCGACCTTTATCAGGCTTGGAGATTGGCCAGGCCGATATCTTTCAGGCTCCCGCAATACTTGGCAAGAATGCAGGAATGAACTAATTGTCTCCTGCAAAAACCCCTCCCCTTTCACTCCTCTTTTATTCCCTCTGGGAGGGGCCATTCATCGTCCACCTGCGGCCTTACTCCCAAGTCGACCCTTGTTCTTTAGCTGTTCCCTTCGCCTGGCAACTCTATGCATGCGCACACTGGGAACAGGATCCAGCTGTTCGTCTGCCTCACTGATGTCTGACTCTGAAGGCAGCTGACAACTGTCAGACGGCCCTGGTTCCCTCTCTGCCTCTGACACAGAGCCTTCATCCGAGCCCCCCCCAGACTCCAGGACTGGCCCATGTTCCTCCCCAACCTCCTCACTGTCTGAATCTGCTGCCAGATCCACTGGGCCACAACATTGCCAACTTTGAGAAACACTGCTCCAGAAGCTCAGAAAACTCTTTGGGAGTTGCTAGTCCCTTGATGCTTCCTCACTTCCCCAGGCTACCTCATATGCTTAATCACAGCTTGCAGTGGATTTAACCAGGGACTGCCAAATAAACCACCATTAAAGAAGTTGACGCCACTCATCCAACCAGAAACAATGGCTTGCTAACCACCATGGCTAGCTTGCATTCTTCATTACGCACAATGCGGTGTTGGCTTTTTGAGCGATGACGGTTTTACTGCCGTTGGTTGTCAACCAGTTCTTCACCACGGACCCCCTTTAAATATCTTTTGTGGCTATGGACCATGGCCACGGATTACCAAGACATCACTCAAGATTTAGTGTTCTGACCCAGCCTTAGCAGAAGCAAGAAACAGATTTCTTGTCAACGACAAATCCCTCTTTATTTACTTCTTGTGAATTAATTGCATTCGTGCACCGAAAAGTCCAGGCAATAGTCCTTCAAGGAGTTAACGACAGTACAGACCTTATCAATTAAGTTCTGGCAAGCAGTCTCTGTGGCAAATGAGCAAAATCTTCAGAAATCCGAACAGTTGTCTCCTACAACCACCACTCCCCTTTCCTTCTATTTATTCCCCAGCCGGAGAGGGACCATTCAACATCCACCTGTGCTTTGCTTCCTGAGTTGACTCCTTGTCCTCCGTTGCTCACCTCTCCTAACTGCTCTGCGCATACGTGCATCTGGAACAGGCCCCAGCTGTTCTTCCTCATCACTCATATCAGCCTCCAAAGGCTGCTGCCTCTCTGGTGGCTGGGAAATGTCGGATGGCCCTGGCTCCATCTCTGTGTCTGACGCAGAGCATCTATCAGAGCCTTCCCCAGACTCCAGAACTGGACCAAGTTCCTCCCCAACCTCCTCATCGTCTGAATCTGCCACCAGCTCTGCTGGCAGCTGGCGGGCCACAACATTTAGATCATAACATTTCTTCAAGCTTTCACAGATCCCCAGTGACATTGCTGCACCCCATTGCTGCACCCCAAAGGTCCACAGACCACAGGTTGAAAGTCCCTGGTTTAGCGCATAGCACTAACTCTATTGCTACTTCTTTAGCAAATTCAAACTTAGCTCAATTTGGTCCCTTCAGCCGTGTGGGATCACCGCTGTCTAACCTGCTTATATCTGTGAAAGGCAGAATTTGCAGGAGTTTGCTGGGATGCCGAGCAGCTCATTTTTTTAGCAGAGGGTGAGTAATGGTCCTAGCTGGTTAACACTCATCTGTGAAACGAAGATAGGAGAGACGGTGGCTTCCAGCAGCCGATTCAAAGGCTCGGAAAGCTGACTCTGAATATTCATATTGCTCCGTGCATGTTGACATGCTCCAGGAAATTAGCAATTTGGAAAGTAGGGTGTTGACGGAGAAGAGAAATCCCGTTGTCATTTTTCTTCTGGAAGAATGCGAACACATGGAGGAGGCAATAAAAGGGGCTTGGAGTTTGCACGCATATGCATAATAAATTCCTAGGCGAGAGTCATCTTCCTAGAACTAAGGAGAAACTTCCTAACAGAATAATTAACCAGTGAAACAGCTTGCCTCCAGAAGTTGTGGGTGCTCCATCACTGGACAGCCACTGGTCTGGCTTGGTATAGGCTGGAGTTTCCTGCTTGAACAGGAGGTTGGACTAGAAGACCTCTAAGGTCCCTTCCAACTCTATTCTGTAACTACTTAATGGATTTCAGACTGGCAGTTAGCTGAAAAAAGGTTGCCAACTGTCCAGGACAAAATGACTTTTGCTTGTCTCTTGGGGGAAAAAAATTCATTATTGCCAGTAGTATGGGGATGGCTGGCTGGGGATGCAGCCAAACTCCATTGTCTCCCCCAAATGACCCTGTCCCTTTGCATACCATTGTGTGCAGGGCAGTAGTGGGATTCATTTTTTTTTACTACCGGTTCTGTGGGAGTGGCTTGGTGGGAGTGGTGGGCGTGGTATGGCTTGGTGGGTGTGGCAGGGAAAGGATACTGCAAAATCTCCATTCCTACCCCACTCCAGGGGAAGGGAAGGATACTGCAAAATCTCCATTTCCACCCCACTCCAGGGGAAGGATAGTGTAAAATCTCCATTCCCTCCCCACTCCAGGGGAAGGATAGTGGTGTAGGACCGTGATGGCAAATCTATGGCACACGTGCCACAGGTGGCACACGGAGCCATATCAGTGAGCATGTGCGCGCCGGCCAGCTGATTTTTGGGCCTTCCGGAAATCAGCAAACAGGTCATTTCTGGTCTCTGGAGGGCCTCTGGTTGGGTGGGGAAGGCAGTTTTCACCCTCCCCAGGCTCCTAGAAAGGCTCTGGAGCCAGAGGAGAGCAAAAAACGGCCCTTCCGGTCCCACCGGAAGTCAGCAAATGGGCCGTTTCCAGCCTCCAGAGGACCTCGGGTGGGGAGGGCGTTTTTGCCCTCCCCAGGCTCCTAGAAAGGCTCTGGAGCCTGGAGTGAGTGAAAAACAGGCCTTCCGGTCCCACCGTGCCATCGCATGCCAAAAGTGGGGGGAACGCAGGGGGGAGGTCGCGCATGCATATGCGGAGAGGGTGGGGCGCATTGAATTATGGCTGTGGGCACATGAGTGCACAACCCACCCACGCTCCCTCCGCTTTTGGCACGCGATGGCAAAAAGGTTAGCCATCACTGGTGTAGGGTCTCCTGCTTGGATAGGGGGTTGGACTAGATGACCTACAAGGTCCCTTCCAACTCTGTTAATCTGTAAGGACTGAGATACGAACCGACTGAGGGCAGATTCA